CCACATGAGTCATTGTCATGTTGAAATAGGCAAAGGCCTGCTGTCACATAGTTACATTCTTGTCTCAAGTATTGTATGCTGTGGCATTAAATTAAATTAAGGGGCCTAGTCCAAACCATGAACTGCAGCCCCAGACCAAAAGTACAAAAACGTGTGTGGACAGGGCCGCAGTGTATAAAATCAAATAAAACATGCTCTGCAGGCTGCTGGAGGAAAAAACACACAAAAAAAGATGAGTTTATCAGCAAACAGTGGAATCTGTGTTTAACTCTGTATTTATTACAAACACTACTTTCAGGAAGTCTTTCTGCTTCCATCTGTTGGAGAGACTCATTGGAATTTTTATTGCAGGCTTATGACCTGCCAGGTTCAGGCTGCATACTGCCTCACTTAAAAGCTTTGCTCTGGTTTGGACACTGTATACTGTTTATTCTTTTGTTACACTGACTACTAGCAGTGACTGTTGTTCTTTCTTTTCATTGCTACACTGAAATAAGTTGCTCATTAGGTATATGAGTTTACAAAAATCTGTGCTTTTGTGAAGCATATATCCCTATTGATGCTGTGTGCTAATGTCGCTCTAGGCTAAAACTTGCTTGTGCATCACTCCAGCATTCTGTCAATGACTGTGGATTCATTAATTGGAGCGCGATATGTGGCAAACGGTTTTCTTTTGGATAAGGGTGATTAGGATAGTTGATGAGGTGATGGCTTGGGGAGAGGGAGGGGATGTTTTAGCTCCAGGGCCTGCGGCATTATTCATGTGGACGTGCAGCTATGCCTCCTGCACACTGCACCACTAATCTAAATCTACAAGAAGGAGTGGACTACTGTACTTGTGCACACTTAAGGGAAACAAATCATAACTGAGCACCGTCAACCGCCCCCCTCAAGACACCCCTTCACCCACTTCACCTGGGGAGCCTGGCAGTTATCGACCAATGAGGGCGACTTATTGAGAAAAAGCTGCCATGAAACTGGGTCGCAGTAGCCAATCAATGCCATGGATTTCTTGCCCTGGCATTATCTCAACTGTGAGAGAGAGAGGGTGGGAGTCGGGGTGGGGGTGTTGCGAAAAAAGAAACAGACACAAATCAGTCGTTATGGAGGCACCTCGACTATACCTCTCCTCCCACTCCCTCCATCCACCCACACTCTCCAACCTGCCATCATCAACCCCTTCCTCTTTCCTCCCTCCTGCTATTCATTTGCTTTTCCGTCTTCTCTGTTGTTTGTTTGCCCCTGGGCTGAAAACTCCGTGTGTATATGTGCTCCATTATGTATGTGTGTGTTTGTGTGTGTGTGAAAGCGCTCTGAAATGACGCATTGATTCACAGTGTTCTATATTTTCTCATCTGGCTCACTATTACAGTGCGAGTCAATCGACGCCGTATTTCTCTCTCTCTCTCTCTTTCTCTCTCTTTCTCGCTCCCTCTCTCTTTTACTTTCTCCTGTTTTCTCTCCCTCTCTCTCTTTTTCTATGAGTATCAGAGTATCATGTTGTTGAATGGAAGTGTTTACGAGGAGTGTCGTATTGCCGTTACAAGAGACAGGTTTGGAGTATCAGCGGTATATTTGTACCTGTGCATGCTTGTGTGTATTTCTGTGTGTTATTTTCTAACTTGGAACACAGTGTTAAGTATTCAGGAGTGCATGCTCTCTTTGTGCACTGTGTGGGGGCATATGGTAGTGGTGAGGCCTATACTGTATATCTGACGGCGTGTTTGAGCGGATGCCAGATCTGTTTTTTTATTTATATTTTTTTAACGTGTGTGAGTATTTATATGTGTTAGGGAGAATTTGCTGGTGGGTATTTGCACCCTCTGGTTCGTATACACACTGCACTAGCTCGAGCTCTGCAACTCCACCCTGTGACCCACACATACACACACGTGCGTGCACAGAAGCACATCCTCCCACTCGTGAGGACTTTTGCCAGAATCAATAGAGGCTTTTTAATGCCTCTTGCTGTAGTACGAGTCTGAAACTGGAGCGCGGGATCACAAAAATGGCAGCCAGGTCCTGGCGTTTGGGACGCGCCCCATTTTAGGCCTGTCTCACATCACTATCTCCAACCATCCCCCTGCCCCCCCATTTATCTGCTCAATTGCGGTGTACTCCGAATACGGAAACAAAACTTTTTCCACTGGTAATAACTTGCTTTATAGTGACTGTATTGTTCACATTTGTGTTTTGTGTATATTTCCAGAAAAGGTTTACCATGACTCTAAAGTGCTGCAGTGAATAAACTTCACCTGAAAGTCAGTATTGTGTTCATGCTGTAGATATAAAGAGACTGTCTAAATCCTATAAAAGATTCCTGCCAAAGATTTCATACAAAATACTATGGGACAAATAATATATATGTAGGCTCATGGTACCTGAAATAAGCACTGGTCACTGTTTTATAATAAAACAAAATAATATAAAATAAACAAACATTTGATACAGATAAATGTCAGGAGTGATTGGCATTAACAACAGTCTCTCCAAATAGAGGTGTCGCCTTCCTGATCCCTTGGGCGCCTGAACCTGTGCTTGGTGGGGGTCTCTGCTATGATCCATCCATGTTTCCATTGAGTTTTCTTATCATATAAATACCTCTTGAATGCTTCAAATGTCCTCAAACAATGCAGTAACACTGGTTTCTGTGCCTGTAGAGTTGATTTAACTATGTTAGCAGAAACTTGTTCTCCGCATTCTCAGCATAATCCTATGTACCTGTAGTAGGCTGTGTAGCCCTGTGATAGAATGAGGGATGTGAAAACAATTTGTCATCTATCATAAGTAGTTCAATGTCAGTGTCACTTTAACATCAGTATTTTTGCTTGTCGCTTGTTTATCCAAAGTCTCTCCTGACACTGCACCGGCTCAGTTGCACACATACACACACACACGCATACACACAAGGCAGCCCTTAGTACTTTGTCTGAGCTACACTAACAGCCTACAGCCATGCTTACAGGGCATTTCCACTAGGAAGCCAAATCCCCTCTTCTCTCGGCTCACCTGGCAGCGAAAGAAAAAAGACGGCAGAAAACTTTTTAAATGTAAGGGTTGGGGAGCAACTTTGACGATAAAAAGCGCATCAGGACGCGAAGTGAAGGGGAAAGAGGCTTTAAGGGGAAAAAAAGGGATTTCATTTGCAGGGTTTTGGTTGTGTTGGGCTGTGAGTGGGGGACTGATAGAGGATGGAAGGAGGCAGAAAAGAAGGTAGATGAAAAAAAAATGAGAAGAAACGGAGGAAAGAGGGTGTAGTCGTGTGCCATAAAACGTTCCACTGCCTTTCCCAGGGCCAAGTCCTCGCTCTGTTTCTAATGAACTCATTTATTCTGTTTTGCTGGCTTTACCTACACCAGCAACAAAAGACACTCTCCTGGTCTGCTTCTCTGAATGCTCTGCTTCAGGGTTTGTTGAGCATCTAGGTCTGTCCTATGGCATTACCTTTGTTTACTTAACTCTCACCATCGATCAAATGCAAACCTGAGACTGTCTTCCGCTGGCAAAGGCATTACTAATTAGCATTTCCTTATGAAATAATGTTGATTGCAAGTGACTGATTAAATTTATTTGCTGTTGATGCACTACTATGTAGGGTTTAAAGCTAAATACAGTTTCTTTCCTCACGATGTTAAGACAGAATCCTTAAAAAAAAAGGTTGGTTTTGTGCCCATATCTTCTGGTCCGTGTCAAACAATTGCAACAAAGGCAAAAACATCAATCGGCACCACATTTTATGTGAACACAAAATCGCATTCTGGTTTTGGCCAAATATTTAATCTCTCCTCGTCTCTTTCTCTCCCTCTCTGTCTCTGTCTCTCCCTCCCTTTTTCTTTCTGAATAATATGCCACTGGGAAGTGAAAAAAAAAACTGAGAGCACGGATCCCCACTCCTCCGCTCTTCTCGGCTGCACGTCTGTGATGTCATAATCACTCACATCAAAGGCTGTGCGCTCAACACGGCGACTGTCAGCTTCCCTGGAGGCGTCATTAAAAACGAACAGAGCAAACCGAGCCAGGCCTGACAGAGACGCATCAAAACTTCCGAACACGCACATATGCACACATGCACAAGTGGGTGCGTGCGTGCACACACATGCACGAGGGTGTGTGCATTAGGGTGCGTGCACAATCAAGCACATACTAACTGAAATGTATTACAGAAACACACATGCACACACTCGCACACATATATGTAATCATAAAATCATGTATACACTAAAGAAAATGCTCACAATGCATATAATCCCACACACACAAGCACACACTCACCAACAACTGAATCTACCCAATGACAATGTCAAAAATCCCTCATTCTAGTATTAGGACAGAACACGCGTTGCTTCCAGCTGCATTGTACATGTGAGTGGTAACAGCACGTGAACATCTGTCGTGAAGATGTGCTGTCGTGATACATTCATGATGCACACTCATGTTGTTGGCAGTCGGGGGCATTATGCAGAGCGTGCACATAAATGTACAAATAGCCTACATCCACCCGCTCACCCGCTTTTCATCCCTTTCTGTCTATCTCTCACACACTCGCCCACACATGGATACATGCACACGCACGCACACACACACACACACTCATACGCAAACACACACTCATACACACACACAGAGGCACACACCACTCATTTACACAAACTGGAGGAAGGACTATAAATAGTATGCCTATGATGCGATGCTGTGTGTGGTTTCTCCCTATGGGTTTGTGTGTGTGACTGTCAAAGTGAAGAGAGAGCGAGGCAGTGAAGGGGGGGGGGGGATATTTAAGGGAAAGAAGGGCTGTGCTCATGTCTGGTGTACAGCCAGTGATAAACAGTACATGACAAGCATGGCGAAGACAGTCAGTCCCCTTTGATTTGAAATGAATATAAGGCATTATATGTTAAAAATGAGCATCTGTGTTTGTGTGTGTATCGGAGTGAATCCAAGATGTATTTATGTAAGATTTTGCTTCTGGGTCGACATGGCGTTCTTTGTGTATGACTTACCCCTGGCAGGGTCTTCTGCTCATGCAATGCATTCTGGGCTTTCAGGGCCGACTCTCTGGCACAGTAGGTGAGGAAGGCACAGCCTGAAATACAGAAAAGAGAGAGAGAGAAATAATTATGTTATGTGAACTGGGGATGGAGAAGGAGAGACAGCCATGGGAGGGGGCTGCACCAATCACCAGTGAATAGCCAAAAAAAACATGTACACACAGACACACAGAGAGACACACTGAGACACACACAAACACACAAACACACACTCACACACAGAGTGAGCCTGCAGCCATAGCTCTGAAACTCTGTCTACATGGCCGCACTGGGAATTTGCTCATGTTTGTGTGTGTGCCTGCGCGTGTTTGTGCACAGTGAACAGCATTTCAGCGACTGAACAAATGCAACATTCCTTCGTACACAAACGCAATTCATACGCATGCAAAAAAGAGACATGAAAGTTAGATGAAAAATTGCGGCTTTGGAGATTTGTGCATTCTGTTGCGTGAGATCCATTCTGCCCGCAAAACACATCAAATCTGACTGAGCTTCCTCCCTGGCAGTCTGAAATAGCAGTTATCCATTCGTCCATTGCACTCTTCTGGCTGCTGTGACAGGGATAGACATTTCCCTGACAGCTTCTCTCTCTCTCTTACCACCCCTCCCCTCCCCTCCCACCACCCTTCATTTCTCCGTCTCTCTGCTCCATATGTTCCAAGACTTCCCACAATCCTCGGTTTTGTTAGCACCTGGGCTGACATGTGGGGGTGGAAGGAAGATGGAGACGCAGGAGGCAAGGAAGAAGAAGAAGCCGTGGGGAACGTGTTAGCCGTTCCCTCGCCACCCCCTGTTGACAGTGAGGCGCACGCCACTGTCAGAGAGCTGACAAACTGTCAATCTGCAGATCAAGGCTAATGATTCATGTGTTTGACAGTTTAATAAAACACTTACAAAGACAATTGCACAATACGCTGTAGTGACACGATTCAATTTGAAGCAAATATTCTTCATACTGTATATGCAGGTGTTTTGCTTATTTGCTCAGACTCTGGATTTAAAAAAAAAAAATCAATTAAATTCAGGGAAAGAAAAAAATCCACAAGGGACAATTAGTCCCTTGGTTTGCACAATGATAATATTAGCAGACATTTGAAGCATTTGAAAAAGGGTCTTTTAGTGAACAATGAGGCAGACATAAACATTACAGCAGCAACAAAAAAATGCACTAGCATTTTCACAATAATTTTTTTCATTTTTTGGATCACAGAAGTCTCCATGCAGACATTGACAAACTGTTCCCTGCTGCCATGCAACTAACATGAGCACAAAGAGACAAAAGAACCACAGTTTGTTCTGGGAACATCAAGGGCTAAGCAGACGATTATCATAGACCCCTCCCCCCCCAAAATACACACAAACACAAATGCTTCTAGCTCTTCCCAGTTGTGCTTTGCTTTGTTCTTTTTGCATACTGGGGGCTATTTATTGTTAAGGGCAGCACCATGTACTGTATGTAGAAGCAGCATGCCTTCCATCCTCTTGACTCCGTATCTTTAACCCCGGGTCGTCCTGATGGCGGGACACTGGGGAGTTCCGCCTGTTGGTGTTTTTAATTAACGGGCCTCTCTCTCATTAGGCGAAGTGGGAGCTGGCCGCTGACAGCTTGGCTACCTCCTCGTCCTCTCTGGGCCTGTCGTGTTAACGCTACATGCAGGCACCGTCCCACAGGAAACACGCAAGCCTCTGATTCACACGCCTGACACTGGCTGCAGGCACCCACAGCATCCAGTGTATTCAGTAATGGAAGAAGTATTCAGATCCAGCAATACCATAACACAATGTAAATAATACTCCAAAAATAATCTGTCACCATTATGTTATTATATATTGTATATATATATATATAGTGTATGAGCAGCAGTCTATAGTTCTGGGTAGTTGATATGGTGATTATTAGAACTATTTTATTTACTGTTGGGTATCCAGAGGTTCCCAACCTTTTTTGTCTGATGTGCTCTGACAGCCCTATCAGATAAACTCAGGGATGAACTCAGGAGGTAGAGCGGGTCGTCCACTAATCAGATGGTTGGTGGTTCGATCCCCGGCTCGTCCTGCTGCATGTCGAAGTGAGCGAGATACTGAACCCCAAATTGCTCCCGATGCTGTGCATCAGTGTATGAATGTGGATAAATGTTAGTTTCTGTTTGCGATGGTCATTCACTGTGTAAATGGGTGAATGTGGGATGTAGAGATGTAAAAAATATGTGGTTGGAAAGAAAGGCGGCATACAAGTACAGTCCATTTAACTTTAACTCAAGTATTCCTTCATCCAGCCCCCTCGCCTAGACGTTACATTTATATACTACGGATTCGCATTACAAATACAGTCATTACCAATTACTACTAATAATAATTATTACTATTAATTCAACAAGGAAACCTTTGCCTGAACGTATCAGTACAAGAACCAAACAAGATAAACAAGATTTACTGACTGATAAATGTAATTATTTTTTCCACAATATTCATTCTTGCATTAAAACACCTGCCTGTAGCAACTAAAACTTTACATTTTAAGGGGTTATGTTTAGGCACTCACCGCACTTGGTTAAGGTTAGGGCTGTGGTCTTGGTTTAACACAGACGTTGTACACACCATCCACCCTGACCACCTCACTTTGACAAAAACGTGTCTCTTTTTACACGTGAAAAAGCATTGCAAGGAAACATACTGTAATCCAGGCAGCAATCACATTTTCTTGTAAAATGTAATTGGGAAAATAAATGAGTTGTATATAAACGCAATCTCTGGGAGACAATTTCTGTGATTGCTTTGACAACACACCTCATGTTCTAAATGTGTTTGTGTGACATTATTTTAAACCGGATCTTATTAAACTCTGCTAATTATGTAAAACTGGATATAATGTTTTTATACAGCACAGTGATCCTGGAATTGCTGGAAAACCTGACCATATACTTACATCTGTCATTCAAGTCCGGCTGGGGACCTTTGTTGTCATGCCGAACTCTTTATTCCCATTATTTCCTTCCACCTCTATACTGAATACAGTAAATCTAGTAAATGCAAATGCATAATAATACAAAAAAACTGCTACCACTGACTCTAGTTGATGACATGTCCTATGCACACAGCTTATTGTAGAACTGGTTATTATGACTATAAGTTTATAAATAAATTCATTTCAAGCATTATACCAATTTGTAATCCTGCATGTGTTTCATTTCCTTCTAAACACAAATATGGATAGTTATACTGTATTTGTACAAAATCATAATTTTTTTAAATTCACAATCTTTCCATGTATCCCCTGGGAGATGCAAAAGTCCCCCTGGTTGGCAATCACTGTTTTAATCTCTAGCAATGCGTTCTGCTTTCTATGTAAACTTTTAATCTTCAAAGTAACTAGTAACTATATCTAGCAAATATATGTAGTGGGGTAAAAAGATTTTTTTTTAATTATAATGAAGTAGAAGTGAAACTCATATCATATCTGAAAGTACCTCAAAATTGTGCTTTAAAAAGTTTTTAAAAATAGAGAAAAAGTAGAAAATTGCAAAATTGTCAGTACTTCTATTTAGTTAAGTTTCACCACTGAGTGTATTTGCAAACGTATGGAGGGGACAAGCACGCATGCATAGAGGCTAACTCGGTCACACACTCACATACACACACACACACACTAAAAGTGACAGTCAACAAACGTTCAATTTATCATCATTGTCACAAGTCAGATGCTGGCAGCGGCTCTGGTATCTGACTAAGACCCATATTGGCCCAGGAGAGAGAGATAAGCTGTTTGTTTCTGCTGTCAATGCTGCCAATTTGGTTTCCCATCACTTCAAATTCAAATCAACAGCAGTGCAGAGGGGATCTGAGAGAATGTGTGTGTGTGAGACGAGAAGAGACGTGAGCGAGAGAGATTGGGGTTGGGGGGGGAGAAGGGCAAAGGAGCAAAAAGAAAGAGGGGGAGGAGAACGGCAGAGAGGAAAAGCAGAACAGCGAGGGATGCTCGGTAAGAGAGGGAGAGGGAGAGAGTAGATAAGATCACCTAGCTTCTGTGAACACCATCCCCCTGTGTCCTACACTCGCTTCTTATCTCAACCACTGCAGACACCCTAAAGGGACACACACCCACCGAGAGAGAGAGAAACAGGAAAAGAGTGAGAGACAGACAGAGAGGGAGGAATATGGGGAAGAAAAAGAGAGAAGATGAAAGAGGGCAGCAAGGGAATGGTAGAGACTATGAATCCTTACTGGGGGAAGAAGAAAAGACAAGAGCTTCAGTGGTGAAATCCACCAACTGTCACCAGGCCTCATTTAAACGACAGCTATGTTGGACCACAAAGAGCTTTGACTTTGTTAACTATGGGAAACATTTACTTGATGAGCTGTCTTTGCTAGATGCTGCTTCCCAACAAACTGACTGTACATACATACATAGATACAATATATATAAAATAAGATGGAACATTTTTTTGTTTGAAGTCATCTTAGTAAGATCCATAGATTTGAAAACCTGAGTAATCAAACAATGTTTAATTGAACATTGTAACATGTGTAACGTTTAGGATCTATTGGCAGATATGAAAAATAATAGGCATAACTATGTTTTCATTAATGTTTAATCACCTGAAAACAAGAATAGTTTTTTTTTTTTACCTTAGAATAAGCCTTAATGTCTAAAGATGCCACAGGTCACCTTCCATGGAGTCCGCCATGTTGAATCGCCATGTTTCTACAGTAGCCCAGAACAGACAAACCAAACACGGGACAACACGGGAATTTTGGAAGGAGGAAGGGTGAGACGAGGGAGTTACAATCTGCAACAACACTGCTAGATGCCACTAAATCCAAGACACTGGACCTCTAAACTGACTCTGTGAGAGCTAAAGCAGGTTTCATAAGTTTTAAAGTTGTTGTCACGGAAAATAAATTGTAATATTTTGCCACGTTTTCATCTACACGACTAAACTGCATAATTTCAAGGAAGTAGTATTTCAGATATTTTAGTCTTGGTTGGGTGGAATACCATTTAGACCTTAGGGCCATAGCCAGGATTTTAAAGCTA